GGCTGCAAAATGCACACTAGGTGTAACACTTTGAACTCTAATAACACCGATATTAATCACCTCTAAACAGGGTGTGTGTGGATGAATAGCAGGCAGATACAGGTTAGCACACATGTGTTCAGCTGCTGCACAGAATGGACAACGTGCCAGCACAGAATATCATTAGCATGCAGGATGCTAATGCCCCTGCAGGCAACATGTGAAGAAGTACGGTGCAACATAGGAGAGGCTGAGTGAAGCCATTAATGGACCGGCGTCTTATATAATGTGTGGCTCCTGCACTGTAAACATGCAGTACATTTGATCTAATCTCTCACAGAATGTCACCATGATTTTAAAGCAAATTCAGATTAGAAACCTTTAACCTGCATCCTGCTGGATTTTATTCTAGCCTTTAAATCGAGGATGTATGTGCAGAGGTGCATTGAAAGTTCAGTTAACATGGGTGAAAAAACAACCAGCTGCAAGCTTCTGCCCTGCTGCACTCTGTCTCTGCGGGACTGTTTAATCAGCTTTAACCCTGAAACCTGATGATGTCCAGAGCCTGCAGACTGATTGTAAGTGCTTCGTCTCAGGGCCTGGTAGCATCCTTTAGTAAATAATGCATGCATGTACTGAGGATATTAAGACAGCTATACCACTCCTTTGCTCTAAGAGGACTGAGTGTGCATGTGATCTTTGTCTCTCTCTGATATCTGTCCATTTGCATCTTCAGAGCTTTTTTTCTCCATCTGACCCCGACTCGACATCCATTTACCGTTTACTGAGAAGTAGTTTGGATAATGGCAGACATGAAGGTTAAGTAGTTTACCTGCAATGTCAGCATTTTTTCACTTTAATGAAGTCAACAAACCTTTTTCCTTTTATTTGCGTTTCACCTCGTCATCCTTCTAAGTTCCTGTGTCAAAGATGTCATGAATTCTTTATGGCTACAGGGTTGTATTGATTTCCTCACAGTTGGTTGATATGGCTTGTTTGTTTGTTGGTGGCTGCACTAAGAGCCTGATCTCTCCCTCTACTGGTGTCAAACGGAAACAGCCCAACATCCATTTAATTCTTTCTCATTTCAATCCAGTGAGAGAGCAGAGGAAACCTCAAACTGATCTTATATATTGCAGACTTTTAAAAAATGTAAATATGAGATAAGTAAATCACAAATCCCTCAAGTTTGACATCTCTTCTGCCACCAGAGAGATAGTTTGCTTTAAATATTTCCTAAGATGTTCACTATTGGATATTTCATAAACTTAATTATAACAGTAATAAAATATTAGACTTTTGTAGCGCTTTTCTGAATACTCAAAGAACAACAACAGAACAAAGTCATGATCTTAAAGAAGGAGGGTGAGAATAGAGTTAGTAGGTGGTTGTAGGCGATGTTGACGAGGTGAGGTTTTAGGGATTTCAGAGGGTGGGAGCATCAATGGAGAAGGCCCTGACCCCCCAGGATGGTTGGTCCTGCAGGACAACCTTTACAATTATAAGTTTGTTAAGAATATTATCGTCTATTTAAAAGATTTTTGGATACTTTCCTGCAGTGTCAGCACTTTGTCCACACTAAAATAAACATTTTGATAAATTGCAGGTTTATTTTATTTAAATAATAATGCCTTATTTGTTTAATGGTGCACTGAAATCAGATCACATTTTAAATGCTTTCCTTTCTGACCACACACTTTGAACTGTTGGACCAAGATGTTTGAAATGAAGCAAAGTGAGAAAAGAAAACTGCAGTAGTTCCTCAAATGGCCACTGGAGGCTGGCTCCAAAAGTGAGTCAATCTCCATTAGGCTTCACATCAAAATGCCAAATTTCACAGCACACATTAACATGTTTACACCCTGATATTTTGCAGCCCTCTTCTCTATTTCTGACAGGGTGGTGATTTAAACCATTTGAGGCTCAGGTGAGCTCAGAACGCTGCAGGGCTGCCAGGTAAGGAGTTCCTCTCCAGTGCATGGAGAGAGACTATGTAAGAGGATTCACCGGCTCATGTCGAGGCTGTCTGGTGAAATTCCTGGTTTCATAACGGGTAACTATCGCATAAATTGCAGAACAGGATATTTAGCGCCCTCTGCAGACTCATCCTGGGATTACTCCAATCTGATCTGAAAATTTGCCCTCGTTTAGTTTAGGCATCCAGCATCGTAAGACTATATGTGAGGTTTAAAATGATGATCATGTAGAATAGGTACCTGAACAAATCTGGACACAGTTTCCGTCTCCTCGGTTTATTTTGCTGTTGTGTTCTTTCGTACAGAAGGCAAACAAAACCCGGTCGAGACATTTCTTAACATGTCGTCTACAATGAGGTAAAAAATAAAACAGCATACAAAACATGAGAAAAACAAACGTAGTGAGCAACATCAGTGTTAGCAATTCAATCACAGAGGTGCTAAAGAACCTTCCCTTAAGTGTCCGGAGAACATCCATGTTTTTACAATTTACAGTACAGTGCTTTCATTTTTATGCTCGACAGCGCCCCTTGGTGACCTTTTTTTTTTAATCAAGTGAGGCCGTGCATCAGGCTTCAGTGAGTGCAAACAAGTATAAATAAACATTCATTAAAATACCACCTGGTTGTTACAATTGTAAACAATATCAATGAGAATAAGCAAAATAAAAAGATAAAAACTGTTCCCTTTAGAGCCCTGAGACACATTTTGTGCAGAGAAAGTCTCAGTGACGCTCATGAGTCCACGCCCCGCTGACAGGATGTTACCACTTTATTAACGCTCAATAATCACTTCTAAAATTTTTCTTCTTTAAAAACCAGTTAAAAAGAAGAACTGCTGGTTCACAGACACACTAAATTAATCCCAGATTCTAAACCCGGGTGATTTCCCTTCAACATGCGGTGTCAGTGTGCGAGTCTGACACTTTTGATTAAATACAGACAAAGCTGCACTCTACCCTACCAAGCCAAAAACACATGAACAACATATTCTGACCTTTTGGCATCTTAACTGAGGTTATAGACATTATACCAAAGAGCTGCATATGTATTGTGAGGGAAACAAATCAGCATAAATAACTCCCAAAGAACTCCAGAGCAGAAGTGAAAACCAGACTGTGGAGACGGCTAGCAAAGCAACTCATTTAACCACAATTCCTCTCAGGATGAGAAAATCTCTTCTTAGACTCCTAAGCCTGAGTGTTCAAAAGGTTTTATCTGGTTAGAAATGATCCAGATTTGGTGATCATGTTTTTCCTGCAAGGCCGGTTACACACTCGACGTCCCAATCTTCCTGTTGGATAACTTTTGAACAATCAGGCCGCAGATATTTAGCAACACTAGCCAGTTAACGTTGGTGCAAATGGCACTGGTCCTTCAGTTTGTTCCCTTTAGCCCTGAAGCACATTTCAGAGAGAACATGTCTCCTGGATTGAACAGTGACCTTCAAACGGCTCCATGCAGCCCTCTGGATTGATGAGAGACAGCGAGAGGCTTAACTTAACGATGTGATCACCACTTTGAGTCACCTTATCGACAGCTACGTTCAACCTTAAGGGCTTGTAACTATCAAATATTTACAGATAGAGTCAGCAGCTTTTTCCTAAAAAATTAAATATAGACTTTTACAAAAGTAATGCTGCTCAGTCCTCTCAATGGATTTTACTGTTCTGGTTGGTTTTGGTTGACTCTTGGTCAACGTTTCTGTGCGGGGAGCTTGGAGTGTGTTTCCTCCAGCCAATGACAGCGCAGCAGGTGAGTTTAGGAGTGGACACAATTCAACAACTGGACGCCATTCAGATCCAGGGAATGTGTCGGATGGGAATGTAGTGGCAAAGGAGAGAAAACCAAAATCCCCAAAAAAGGATCAAAAAGTTGCACATTCTCTCTTTAAGCTGCGAGTAATTATTTATCCCCCTAAAAATGTATTTATAAAATAATGTATGGGTATATACTGTTAATGAAGATGAAACCTGTTTCCCCTGTACCGTTTAGTGCATGATCAATCTGTGTTCTTAGCTTTAATGTTAGGGCTTTAGCAACGACTAACAACTATAATAATAATTCAGTTTTTCTTCTGTTTGGAGCCTTCAAACCCTTTTTTTAAAATCTATTCTTGTAGTTACCTTCTGCCTTTGTAAAGTCCAGCACAATAAGCAGCTCCTACATTGTTAGAATGCTTTTGTTTCTTTTTATACAAATGGAGTTTTTATACTGCAGCCCTAAACAGCAGAAAGGCTCCGATTGGAGATGCATCATTCTGCACGCTCACCTGGCTCCTTCCAGAAGCAGAAACAGTTCATACATATTGATGACTGGCTGCTCGGCTGCGGGGCTTCCTCGAGAAGCCGTCATCTTCCTCAGAGGACGAGAACAAAGAGGGAGGGAGGATGACTGAAAACATCAAAGAAGCTAATGCATACGCAGAGCAGGTAATGATCGCTCTCTTCTGCCTCTTGCTATGAAGATTCAGAGGACGCTGGAATATTTACATAACCATGAGGTGTCACCTGTGCAGCCATGTGGACAATAACATGTACAGATTCATGGATCATTCAAGTGAAAACAGGCATCCCTCTTCCTCTTTGAGTCCTTTCAGAGGAAGTGAGGTTGTGTACCGGCTTTGAACAACAAACTAATGTTTCATCAATTATTCACACAGTGCAGAAAGCAGGTGCAGGTCATTTTGGCTTTTGACTGTTCAGGACGTCCTTCTGCTCCAGCAAAAAGAACATTTCAAATTAAAAAAATCCAACAAGAGGACATCACGGCCCCAAGGTCGTTCAGTTCAGTCTCGAGGCGTTTATCGTCCCAGCGGGGGATCTGGAGAAAAAAGGAACTAAATTGGAGCCGGCTGACGCTGGAGTGGAAATAGAGTGTTTTAAAAAAAAAAGGGGAAAAAAAACTCCCTTTCCTCTCCACACACACACACACACACACACACACACTGCATCATCTTCTTCCTCCTCCTCCTCCTCTTCCTTCTCTTCCTCCTCCTCCTCCTCTTCCTCCTCCTCCTCTTCCTCTTCCTCTTCCTCCTCTTCTTCCTCTTCCTCTTCCTCCTCCTCCTCTCCCTCCTCCTCCTCTTCCTCATCAGTCACAGCAGCAGAAGAAGAAGGAGCACGACGAACCATCGGGCCCGCGGAACTTTCCAGAGCTGGGCGTGTCCTTACACTCTGCGATGAAGGTGTGCAGGTCGCTGACACACACCTGCTCCTGTGACTGCGCCTGCAGAGAGACAAAGACAAACACAGAAGAAACTACATAAAGTCTGCTAGTCCCATTCAAACACATTCACACACTGATGAAGAAGCAGCGGGAGCAACTTGGGGTTAAGTGTCTTGCCAAAGGACACATTGGACATGTGGCTGCAGGAGCTGGAGATCGAACCCCCGACCTTCCGGTTGAGAGCCACCGACTCTACCACTGAGCCACATAATGACTTCCAACAACAGCATTATGTGAAAGAGTATTAGAGAGCTGCTAGGATGCATGACAGCTGTGATTTGAGGAAAAAAATCTGAACAAGTACAGATACAAAAATCCTATTCCCTTTTTAATAATAGAATACTTTTGTTTTAACTTACTTGAGACTTGAGACAATCGCCATGTGATCTGCAGAGTCCCTCTGCACCTTTAAGAAAAAGCTAAAGAGCCAGCTCTTTCATGAATACCTACTAACTTAATGATGATGGTCTCCATATTATTGATGATGATGATGGTAATGACGATGGTTTTTGTTTGATAACGATGACTTATAAGATGGTTTCTATACTGATTAGAGCTCTCAAGAACTGCCCTCAATGTTGTGCTTTGCCTCTGGTCACTTCCTGTCAGCACCTGTGTGTCCAATCAGACTCAAAGCTGATCGTTTGCTCTTACTCACATTGTTCCCTTTTTTTCTAGATCCTTGCTTGTGTTGTTCTTACTCTCTGATGTACGTCACTTTGGATAAAAGCGTCTGCGAAGTGAATTGTAGAATTGAATTGTAGACCGACTTCAGGTACTCCAACACTCCTCACACATGTCTGTGTACGCAGATTCAGTGCAATAGAGCGATGTGCAACACCTGTGAGTTACAGGCTCCAGAGCGACGGGGCCTTTACATGATATTTACCTCATAATCATGTGCACCGCTGCAGCACTTCTGCACTTTACATCTCACAGCAGCACTTTAAAGCACTTTAACTCTGAAGGTCACTTCATCCTGCTTTGTTTTGAACACTTGTATAATTGAGTCAGCTAATGGGCACGAGGAGGTTTGGAAGCATTTGAATGCGCACTGCATCAAAACAAAAAAGAGTAACGGAGAGAGAGAGAGAGAGCGTACCATGATGGTGTCGTAGGCTCCAGTGATGAGCGCGATGAAGAGGGACAGCACCATGTAGATGAAGAGGGAGCTGAAGCTGTAGAGGTACACCTGGCTGAAGATAAACACCATCGTGCCGCTGTGCTCCATCTCAGAGAACGTCACAAACATGTCGTCTCCGTTGATCAGAGAGAACAGACACTCGGACACCATGGAGAGGGAGCGGAACTGTGGAGGGAAACAAGAGAGCACAGCAGCACAAGGTGAGACTGACGGCGTGCACTGATCGCAGGGGAATAAACGTCACCTCCCCCCCGTCCCACGCTTATATGAACTATGACAAGAACCGGCCCTGACTAAACATCCTGCCTAAAGTTTGACTTTTCTTTTATGAATCTGTCTCCTGTGAGTCTGCAGACTGTGAATAGTACTACTTTGTTGTAGAATCACTGCAGACTCCTCACACCCCGGACACAAACTTTTCAAACTCCTCCCCTCTGGCAGACGTTACAGAACGCTGTACGCAAAAACAACCCGTCATAAGAACAGTTTCTTCCCTCAGGCTGTCACTCTGATGAACGCTAAACAGTCACAGAGTGTCAGACCTGTCGCGGTGAAATGACTCTAAACCAACCGTCACTGTGAATATACATATATATATATTCATATTATTTAAATCAAATGATCAATACACACACACACTTATTTATGTAAATACTGTAATTGATATCTTCATTGACCCATCTGTCACATAACTGCATTTTACTCATCATGTTACTTCAGCATCTTTTGCACTATTCACCACTGCACTGTTTCATATTTAGTCATGTAAATATTAGTCTTTTCTTATTATGTTTATTGTTGATTTTTAATGTTGTACCTGTTCATAAGAGAGCACAGTTCACTGACGTTAAATTCCTTGTGTGTGTAAACAAACCTGGTCAATAAATCTGATTCTGATTGTAACACTAAATCATCACCCTGCCCCTTTACTTTGCAGCAGAGATTTAAACTGCACACTTCTGCATGGATATCTCTTCAAATGAACTTATTAAATGCATTTTAGAAGTCACAGGTTGTCCGAGGTTTTTTTTGCTTTTCTGAACTTTTATTTGCTTCTGTTTGTGAAGTTACATGAATTCATCCCGTCGTCAGTGCACGAGCGGAGCGAGCCCAAAACAAAACATCCTGATTTGATTCATATTTAATGAACGTCAATTTTCTTCATTTTTTATTCATGACTACAAAAAAGATTTTAAACGCTCGAGGGCGGTTTATGATAATCAGGCTGTTGTGACATAAGCTAGAGGTCAGAGTGTGTGTGTGTGTGTGTGTGTGTTTGTGTGTGTGTGCAGTACCTTTGTATGATACGGCCCCAGCACGATCCATCCACAGAAGCAATATCCCAAATAAATAGCAGCTGCACAGAGAGAGAAGCGGATGACGTTGGGAAAAGCAGCTCTGAGGGTCACGATGAGGATCTGTGGAATAAAAAACAGACGACCAAAGTAAAATCACATCCCTCCAAATAACATCTTCTCTGAGTGTGTGTGTGTGTGTGTGTGTGTGTTTGTGTGTGTGTGTGTGTTTGCATGAGATTCCACCAACGTTGTATTTCTGGAAGAAGCTGAGGTAGCGGATGACCCCCACCCACACCAGCAGGGTGGAGGTCCCCAGCAGGATGCCACAGATGTCGTATGATGATATATTCTGCAACAAAAAACAGCAAAACTGGTAAAAAATAAAACCCGTCTGACTAACAGGACGGGTTCCACATGAGATGGGGAGGGGGGGGGATCATGTTCCTGCGACCTCAGTCTCACCTTGGACTCGATGCCGATTTTGATGAAGCTGCCGATGATGGTGAACATGTCGCTGACGATGAGCAGGATGTACCAGCCGTTGATGAACTCCATGCGCTCCCCCCAGCTCACACCGCGCTCCAGTCTGTGTTTGAAAAACTGCACGTACTCCTGGAAGACGGTCAACAGGAAGAAGAGAACACACGTTTAACCTGTTGGTTCACAAACTTTTTCTGAGCGGCCAAACTCAGCCTTGGTCTCGAGACCACTTTTGGAAGGTCTTAGTCCCGTCTCGGAATGGAAAGCATTTTTACTCGGCCTTGTCTCGATCTCAGATTGAACTCAAGATAATGATTTTATCGTGAAATTTATGGTCTTGGTCTTGACTCAGTCTGGATCCCTAAATGTCTCGGTCTCGCTGCACAACACTACCTCAGTCCCTCCTCACAACATGAAAACATAAAGTCCGGTGTTCTGTTCTTACGTTCTGCAGCACGACGCCTCTGACGATGGAGCGACCGCACAGCAGCAGGGACAGCAGACACACGATCGCCACCACCACGTCAAAAAACTCCCGGGCGTAATTCTCCGCTGTGGCAGGAGAGAAAAAAACAACATGGAGATATTATTGTAAAGTATCTATCGTGTTGTAAAACCCAAATGTGTAAAAAGTCAACTGGCTGTCAGTTTAAAAGTGAATCTTGGCGTTTAAGATCCACAAACGTGTAGCGAGGGTTCGTTTGCCCTGAGCTCAGACTCACAGGCTTACCTGCCAAATGACCTCGCTGGTGACTTGTCTTTTCATTAAGGATGACTTTAATCAAAGCAGCACCCCACAGGGTTTAACTACCTAACAGTGTTGATCGTTAGAGTGATTGATTGATTTACACATTTGCAGTTTTTCAACAATAATAGCATCATAGGTGCAGCGGACAGGATTGAGCTCATATTAAAGGTAAGATGAGTGAATGTCTCGTTTCCTCACCGTGTCCTTTCACGTTGGGGTCTCTACACTCCTTTATGGTCGCCTTGTTCATCAGACTGATCTTCACTTTGCCGCTGTGAGCTCTGTTGTCCATGAGGATCTGTGACACACACACACACACACACACACACACACACACACACACACACACACACACACACACACACACACACACACACACACACACACACACACACACACACACACACACACACACACACACACACACACACACACACACACACATTCTTGTATTTGTTACCTTCTTAAGACCTCCTATATTTGCTATCCTTTTGAGGGCCCTACTTTCTAGATATCATAGAAACATATGAAATACATCCATGAACTTGAAAAAACAACTATTTTAATTATTTCACTTCAGAGTTAATAATTTAATTGAGGGGGAGGAATTACTGATTTTTAAAGTCCAATAGATTTTTACATCATTTGTTAGGTCCATTTTCAAATTCCCATATATTCACTAGTCATTTTAGGGCCACCAGTAGCCTTCAAAACATTCTCATTAGCATTTCTTTATTAGATTTCATGAGTTGAATTAACTATATAGTGAACCTGAAAAACACCAAATTTATCACTCCTGTGGTACAACTACAAAAAAACTCAGTGTACCCGTCAAAGTAAGTGAGGGGTCAGTTTGTTTACTATAAATGGTCAAAACATCTGTTTTATCCCATACTCCAGATTTTTTTTGTGAGGAATGAAATGAGAATAAAAAAAGAATAACATGTAAAAAAGGTTTTCTTATGTAGTATTTGCTTTGTGTTCACCCTTACCTTTGTGTCCCGCCTCCCTGTCTGTCACTGTGTCTGTCACTGTGTCTGTGCTTTGAGCCTGCTCCCTTTCTCGCTGTCATGGCCACATCATGGTTCCATAAGAAAATCACCTTCTCCAGTCTGTCTACCCCAGCCCAACAACTCACATAAAATACTGTCATCTGCTGTGGTATACTCGCATGGTTATGCCAAATAAAGCTGTAATCTTATGAGATCTTGCAGTTTTGTGCTTTATTCTAGTCCTTACATTCACACCTGGCTATTGTCTCTGCACCTCTCCAGTCCTCCCAACTAACACCCATCGTTCACCAATCCTTGGACTATGTAAGCCATTATCCTCTCCCCTTCAAAAATGCATCTCCTCGATACGATTACCTGTAGTAACAACACCACAACAGTATGGAAATCCAGACAATAATGCCCAACTGTCAAGTAGAAATATTTAACTTTAATGCAAAGCCCACAGCACAAGCACAAGTTCAGCTAAAAAAAAAATGTATTCAGAGTAACAATTGTAGGCAGAATTTAAAATTATTTGTTCACAGAAACATTTGCTGTAAAAGCTTCTTAAGTGCTTAACAGATTCAACAGAATTTTACAAAGTTATTGGTACAAGTGCTGCCATCTTTGACAGCATATATTCCTCTATACAATGATATTATTGATACTATTCTGGCAAGCACTGGCTAATGCTATTCTTTACAAAAAGTTCATGGCATCTTTAGTATTATATTTACTATTGTAAGAATTCACAGAAAATTCCTGTGCGGGGTTTACAACAGTAGTATGGAAAAAATTTGCAAGAGTACATGCTGTGAATGCTCAAAGTATTTACACAAATATCAATCAAAAATTGTAGATAAAATAGTGTAAATGCTTACAGCATCTACCATGAAAAAATTAAATATTGTGTAAATGCTTACAGCATCTACCATGAAAATATTGAATATCGTGTAAATGCTTACAGCATCTACCATGAAAATATTGAATATCATGTGAATGCTTACAGCATCTACCATGAAAATATTAAATATTGTTTGAATGCTTACAGCATCTACCATGAAAGTATTAAATATTGTTTGAATGCTTACAGCATCTACCATGAAAATATTAAATATCGTGTGAATGCTTACAGCATCTACCATGAAAATATTAAATATTGTGTAAATGCTTACAGCATCTACCATGAAAATATTGAATATTGTTTGAATGCTTACAGCATCTACCATGAAAATATTAAATATTGTGTAAATGCTTACAGCATCTACCATGAAAATATTAAATATTGTGTAAATGCTTACAGCATCTACCATGAAAATATTGAATATTGTGTAAATGCTTACAGCATCTACCATGAAAATATTAGATATTGTGTGAATGCTTACAGCATCTACCATGAAAAAATTGAATATCTTTGAATGCTTACAGCATCTACCATGAAAATATTAGATATTGTTTGAATGCTTACAGCATCTACCATGAAAATATTAAATATTGTGTAAATGCTTACAGCATCTACCATGAAAATATTGAATATTGTGTAAATGCTTACAGCATCTACCATGAAAATATTGAATATTGTGTAAATGCTTACAGCATCTACCATGAAACATTAAATATTGTGTAAATGCTTACAGCATCTACCATGAAAATATTGAATATTGTGTAAATGCTTACAGCATCTACCATGAAACATTAAATATTGTGTAAATGCTTACAGCATCTACCATGAAAATATTGAATATTGTGTAAATGCTTACAGCATCTACCATGAAAATATTGAATATTGTGTAAATGCTTACAGCATCTACCATGAAAACATTAAATATTGTGTAAATGCTTACAGCATCTACCATGAAAATATTGAATATTGTGTAAATGCTTACAGCATCTACCATGAAAACATTAAATATTGTGTAAATGCTTACAGCATCTACCATGAAAATATTGAATATCGTTTGAATGCTTACAGCATCTACCATGAAAATATTGAATATCGTTTGAATGCTTACAGCATCTACCATGAAAATATTGAATATCGTTTGAATGCTTTCAGCATCTACCATGAAAATATTAAATATCGTGTAAATGCTTACAGCATCTACCATGAAAATATTGAATATCGTTTGAATGCTTACAGCATCTACCATGAAAATATTGAATATCGTTTGAATGCTTACAGCATCTACCATGAAAATATTGAATATCGTGTAAATGCTTACAGCATCTACCATGAAAAAATTGAATATCTTTGAATGCTTACAGCATCTACCATGAAAATATTAGATATTGTTTGAATGCTTACAGCATCTACCATGAAAATATTAAATATTGTGTAAATGCTTACAGCATCTACCATGAAAATATTGAATATTGTGTAAATGCTTACAGCATCTACCATGAAACATTAAATATTGTGTAAATGCTTACAGCATCTACCATGAAAATATTGAATATTGTGTAAATGCTTACAGCATCTACCATGAAAATATTGAATATTGTGTAAATGCTTACAGCATCTACCATGAAAACATTAAATATCGTGTAAATGCTTACAGCATCTACCATGAAAATATTGAATATCGTTTGAATGCTTACAGCATCTACCATGAAAATATTGAATATCGTGTAAATGCTTACAGCATCTACCATGAAAATATTGAATATCGTTTGAATGCTTTCAGCATCTACCATGAAAATATTAAATATCGTTTGAATGCTTACAGCATCTACCATGAAAATATTGAATATCGTTTGAATGCTTACAGCATCTACCATGAAAATATTGAATATCGTGTTAATGCTTACAGCATCTACCATGAAAATATTGAATATCGTGTTAATGCTTACAGCATCTACCATGAATAAATAGCAAAGAGTAACATGCCACAATAGTATCATTTTTTTCAAATTGCTGCCTACAGCATTTAGAGCAAAATCAATAAAAGCATTGCTTAGAAAAATGAGCTGGAGAAGCATACAATAAAAAATACAATTAAATAAAATGTGCTAAAGAACATTAACTGTGAATGCCTACATTATTGACATTAATAACATAATGAACCTAAAAGAAGTCATAAACTAAAGCCTTCCTTCTGAAACTATTCTATTGTGAACATAGAACTTCACTGCCCTCCAGTCTCTCTGGGCCAGCGCTTCGTCTGCGGCTGAAATACACATCTCGCAGTCCTTTTTACCTGGTGTTTTACCCATTCTGATGAATCTCATCAAAGACTTTTCAACTGCCTGTACCTCCTCTTCTGACCACATCCGTTTTGGCTTTCTTTCTCCTAGGAAACAAGATTGTAAAGAATATTTTTAAGAAAACAAGAAAGAAATACCAAACACTCAATTAAATTTTTCTGAAACAACAGGAAATGGAAAGACAGTCTAAATTTCCCCGATTCACTATTGCTACCATTCAACATCCCAGAGGCATTGACTATAGGTAATATCAGTGACAATTGTTTAGCTGCTTCATGTCTTCACTAATTATGATAATTACCGTAAAATCCGGTGTATAAGACGCACTTTTAATATAGTCTTACACACCGGTGTGACCAATATACCAGTATAAAATACTGAAACACACGCCGTCATTACCGCGGATGCCGCTGCCCCTATCACTGCAACCTGAAATTATTAAAACCCCATCCATTGTTTATTGAAAGCTGCACGCTGTGCTGGGAAAGACGGCGACACAGACCAGGCTGGCTGTGTGACTTTCTCCACATCTTTTCTCCCTCACGAGGTCATAATCTACATTTACAGAAAACAGTGGTATATTATTCTGTAAATAAACCTTGTTGACTGTTCTTTTGATTGAAAGAGTCCAATATTAAAGTGAAAGAGTGACCAGCGGAGTCGGGCAGCTCGACTCACAAGCTAGGAGTCTGTACCTCTGCCAACTTTCCCTGCAGGCTGAGAGCTCAACTACCGTACTGTAGCTAGTAGGAACGCAAACTCCCGAAAGTGAAAACAAACGGAACTAAAAGAACGACACAGCGGCACAGAAACTGCACGTTGTAGACATCACTGAACACAATATAAATCCTCACGCAGGAAAACAGTTTAAAGTTTTTTTCTCTTTAAGAGACCTTCAAAACAGGGTGCGTCTTATATACCGGTGCAATTTATATTCCGGATTTTACGGTACTTTAATCCCCCTGGTAAATAAATGACCAACTCACAAGTACATTGGGCAAGATCAGTTTGTGTGGAATAAATGAACACTGTGGGATTAACAATAATTTCATAATTTATTTGTTATTGTGTACATTTATTCATAATAAGACTAATATATGCCAAAGCATTCAAATTGATAGAAAATTTCAGATATTAAATTCATTCTTCTGCACTGCTGCATAATTAATAGCAAAACCAATTTATATATAGCCATAGCCATTTGTACATAAATGAACTTTTGTTATGGGCTGGGTTTTTTAATAAGGATCTTTTAGAGTAGAACCTTTGGTCTCTAATCACACGGTGCTGAAACAGTGTTTAAAAACTGGAGTTTTTGACAAGATTATATTTTGGGTAAAATCAAAAGACAGTTTATTTCTTACTTTGTGGGCTTTGCTTGTTGTCCAGCTGCTGTGGGGTGCCCTTCTTGTCCTGAGTCACTGAAGCTCCTCCTAAAAATATTCAATAGGCAATGAACATAAACGGGCATCAAATCATGAATTACAGATGGTGGCACAATGTAGCGTAGCAGAAAATATGATCTGGAGTTTAATTTTGAAATTTAAAAGGATGCTCTGTGCATTTCCTTGTCCGACTTCCTGTCCAGGTCAACCTTTTTGGTTCAGCCTTGTGCTCGCAGCTAGGTCTATACAAAAACACTTGGCACGTATTTAGATTATCTGATAACAGCAGGTGAGATAACAGAGCGCTGAGAAGGTGTTCTAACTATGTGAGTTGTTGCATGTAATGTGGTAAAATATATAAATGAATGCTCATTTAGATCTATTAATAATGTGAATGGGCTTAGACAGGCTACATAAACTTAATTGAAAGACTCAAATATATTTTTCGGCTCCGGACGGATTTTTTCTTCTTCTTCACATCGCATGTTCTTGCAATGTGACTATTGCGCATGCGCTCATCACGATGACAATGCTGAAAGGCTATATCATTACCCCAAATAACATACTGGTGTGTAGTCTGCAATAATAATGTCAGAGTCTCTGTGTTATTACCTCTAGAGGCTGTTTTTCGTCCAAACTGCCACTTTGAGGTACTCTGTCTGTCTTTTGTCACCGATAACTCTTCTAGAAAACATTTATAAGCAAAGAAATCAGGCATATGGCCAGACAGCAATGTGCTACAGGTGGGGTCTAAAAACTCCAACTGCATATGCTGCGCTTACCTTCTGAGCTTTTCTCTTCCTCCTGATGATGATTGGAGGTGTCCTTTTTCCCTCTGGCTACTGACGCTCTTCCTAAAAACACAGATCAGATATCTTGATTTGATGAACATTAGTACATACTAATCACATTGGTGCATACAGTAAAAAGGGAAAAATAGGACTAAAGGGTCTTCACTTTTTTACCTCTCAAGGCCCTGTTTTGTTGAAGGTTCTTTGGGGTGCTCCCTCTGTCTTCAGTCACCGACAACTCTTCGGGAAAACATGCAAACAACCAAGATCCACATTCAGATTATGATAATTCTTCTCAACTACACTGTCATGATATATCCAGACTCTAATCAGCCTATGGACCTACTGAGAGTCACTTAAAACAAGCTATTATCTCCCAAGTTCATGCTTACCTTCTGAGCTTTGCTCGTCTTCAAGCTGCTGCTTTGAGGTGCCCTCCTCTTCTCCAACTGAAAAAACAACAAAAAAGGAAATGTACATTTTCATGGGGAAAAAGGCTTCCTATATGTCATCAATGTGTATAGATATTCAGAAATGCTGTGCATAAATGTGGGATGTTAACTGTTCTGCCCTTGATGTGTTTTATGTTAAAGGACAAAGTTTCCTCGTCGTTTGAATAAATGGTTATTGTTTTGAAATCTGTTAAGACACAGGAAGCAGGAAAAGGGAAGTAGAAAGTGTGTAAACAGAGAAGGAGCAAGGTGGTGTCTGTAAGGGCTTCCATGTTGAATCCTAAGTCCTCCTTGGTGTGAATCCTTCAGAAAGTAATGGCTGAAAGTCTAACTTGTTGTTTACATGTTTGATAGTCTATATTGATACATTTTATGTACATTTATTGTAAGTTTATAGAAATTTAATGTAAATTTACACTCTACTACTGTCTCAGAGTCAACTACTAGATGCAGCTTGTATTTTCTTTTCTAGTTTCACTCCGATTCATTGTCATCTTGTCTACTTTGAAGAAGTCATTAAAGGAGCAAGCATGCTCACGTCCTGGCTCTTGAAAAGGAGTTTGGCTGACTGTTCATTTACGTTAACACTTGTGAAGTACAACACATAGAAAGAACAGTACATTAACATTAGTAACTATTAAAGGCAGAATATGCCTTTAATCAAAAAAAAATATTTTTTTTTGATCCAGCTGATGCCTTGAGCACCAGCATGAAACCAAAACAACTCACGCTGCATTTTTGTGTTAGCATGCTAATGCTAGCGATCTTTATTAGGCTGGTATCTTCACACTGCATGTAAATTTACCTGAAATGAGCGTGATCTAGAAACACAGTTAAGCAGTGAGTACAGTATGTTATTCTTCTTTTCTCTAGTCCCTCAATTAAACCACTTTTATACACGAGGGGAGGAGCCGGCCGGCCCGTTCATGTAAACACGCTGTAGATATGGCTCACTGTATTCATGTGTAATTTGTTATGTCATTATTTCACACATGTGAACCATACACAGACATACCTGTTGGATTATCTTTTTGCTCTTCATCTTCAGATGACAACCCAGAGCTTTCTTCAAGAGCTTCTGTTCCATCTTCAAGACAAAAAAAAAGATTAAATCCTTTGATAGTGAAATTGAAAATTAGACATGAAAAATTCAGCTTCTGCAAATCAAATTAACTCTTACCTTGGGGGCTGATAGAGATCTGGTCAAGACTTTTCCCTTTGAAGTCTGCCAATCTGCCTTGTTCACAGGCCATCAGTACCTTGCTAATCTTTGCCAGATGTAAAGTCCCTTCTGGGAGCCGATAGAACTTTCTATGTACTCTGATATCATGTCCCAGAAAGTCTGCAAGTAGGTCTTGTTCAGTGTCATTAAGGTTTAACACTCTGGACAGAGTGGCCACTTGTTTTCTCAATTTTGTTGAGGAGAAAGCTTCAGGCTTTTGGGCCCCACAACTTCTTGCCAACTCACGGATGCAGTCAGACCCCCTTAGTCTTGTCTCAAATCCTGGCCTGGCGAATAAGTATGGGTTGTCAACCACACCACACAAGTCTCTGGAAGTCACAAGTAGCTCCAGCGATTTGACCATAGCTGGAGTAAGGATGATGGGCACCTTTCTGCCTCGCTTCCCTCTTATTTCCACTCGTTCAAAGTGGTGGCACAGCATTTTTTCCAACTCTGAAAGTGCTTCTGCAACATCCTCATTAAGTGGAGAGCTGTCCCTGGCAACATATGTTTCCAAATACATATTAGAGACTTCTCCCTCTCTTCTTCTGTTAAAAAGAATAATCTGTGCTAATGTTACTTTAGCAAGATTACTCCAATTCTTTGGTGTTTTCTTTTTAGACAGCTGCTCATAGTCCTCTTTCTGTTTGTTAGTCATATAAATGTGCATCTTTTTCACATCATCTGCTAACGGGATCAGCTTCGGTTTGTTCCATTTGTTTTCTTCCAGTGTACGGTATGCAGCAGAAGAGATCAGCTCGTTCCAGCTAAGAGTGTACATGCGTCTGAACTCCTGGACGTGCATCTTCTTTTCATTACTCTGGGAAACGAGAGCCTCAGCCTCGATTATGTCGGCCACTCTTTGTATGCTCTGACCCAGCTTTGTGGCTAAAGTTGGTTTCTCAAACTTGTTAATATTTTCATCATATCCTGTTACTTCTTTGACGGCACGAATGAAATGATGGAAGTTTTTAGGGTTGATATAATCTGCTATTTTCCTCAGCGGGGTCACCTTCCTTCCTACAACTAGCAGTCTCCCAAGGCCTCTCAATGTCTGACGGATGTTGTCATGTTGAGAAGCAGATTCGCGCTGTCTGTTGTACATTTTTTCTCCAACTTTCATGATATAAATGTCCTCTTTTATTGCCTGCACAATCTCACCTTGCGTCATTCTATTAACAAGAGCCCATACCTTCTTGTTGACTTCTTTCGGAACTGGCTGAGCACCAGCACAGAGGCTCTGGATTCTTGTTTTTCCCGGCAACGTTTTGCGAATCTTTTCAGCTAGTACGCACCGTTTTGCATGCTTCCAAAGTGCCTTTCGCTTAAATAGTCCAAAGCAAGCAAAACAGTGTTGATATTCTGTTGGGCTGGCATGTTGGTCAATTTGTTGTCTGCAAGGTACCAGTGTCCCTTCTCCATTTTTTAGTACCTCAATGTTGTGAGCCCTATTTCCTTGCTTACGAAGGAGATTTAGAAGATCCTTCCGTTTTTTAGACCTTTTTGGATACATGACTGCAGCAGCAACCTCTACCTCCTTTTGGTGAGAGCGTTCCAGATGACGTGAAATTTTTGTTTGAGATTTCTGGCAGAAAAGACAATAGTTTCTCTTCTGGTGATATTTTTTTAACCCGTCTACTGTAGCAACATGTCCAACAACAAGAGAATTGTCATTTGTTGAAGACTGATCATGTTCAGTATTTTGTTTTATGCCGTAAGTGTGTCTGATTTTTTTCCCTTTTGGAGATGAGGATTCAGAATCTGTATCCTCTTTTTTTTTCTGTAAGTCAAGTCCGTCATCAATGGAACTGTTTTGTCTGGAATTTGCCTCCCAACCATTCTTTTCCTGGACTTTTGTACGTTTTTTCTGTCGTCCTTTGGGTGGGTTTAAGGGTAAGCTATCCGAACTGTCATCACCTGAAGATTCTGGGACATATTCCTCTTCACTGATGTTGCTGGAAGAATGATTGCTTTCAAGCATTTCTTTGGTCAACTACAAAAGAAACAGGCATATATGCAGCAACATTAAAAAAATATATTTCTAAAATGAAATTGCAAAATGTAGGCAACTGGAATAGCCCACAGTTTTGTGACCACTCTAATGGGACTAGACCAGTGATAATGCAGTGTTTCCCCTAGGTTTACAGCGTTGGGGGGGGGGGGATTTTTACTTACAAACACGCTTTCTGTCCTCAACAAAGGTGGAATCCATATGTCATCATCCATCTGCATTTTGTCTTCAATCTGCATGTTGTCTTCAATCTGCATGTTGTCTTCAATCTGCATGTTGTCTTCAATCTGCAGAAAATGTATTAAAACTGAATCATTTGGATACTCTTACAAAAGGCTTAAGATAAAGTACCTGGTTATTAGAGCTGGGTATTGTCCACAACCTCACAATTCAATATCGATTCGTCACAGATACTTAAAGGAATCTTGGTGTTTATGGGTTACTTTTAATGACAGCTGTCCTTTTCTATCAGAAAGGTATCCTTAAATGACTTCAGACTCTATCCACTATCCTATCTCTACAATAAAGGCACAAAAAGCCAAAAAATAAATCTTTAAAAAAATAAATATAATAAACTTGACTTGACCTTCAAGGGGGCCGGGGGGCACCCCCCCCTAATATAATGGTAGGGGAAACACTGTAATGGATGTTATTGTTCAATCTGAACTTGTGTTAATTTCCAGTTTTGTCAAATTCATATCATACCTAATGTTCCTACCACAAAAAATATAAAAAGCATGTAAAACTTGATTTTTACTTACAAACATGCTTTCTGTCCTCATCAAAGGTGGAATCAATATGTCATCATCCATCTGCATGTTGTCTTTCCATCTGCATGTTGTCTTTCCATCTGCATGTTGTCTTTCCATCTGCATGTTGTCTTCAATCTGCAGAAAATGTATTAAAACTGAATCATTTGGATACTCTTACAAAAGGCTAAAGATAAAGTACCTGGTTATTAGAGCTGGGTATTGTCCACAACCTCACAATTCAATATCGATTCATCACAGATACTTAAAGGAATCATGGTGTTCATGGGTTACTTTTAATGACAGCAGTCAATATAACAACTGAACAATTATTTTAACTTGTAACGGTCTGTCCAGCTTAGTTTTTGTTCCTGCAACTCCCGTTTCTGAGCGCACATGAATGCATCTCTCATTATCTGAGCACCCCTGAATGCCGCATGTTAACAGCGCATCTCCTGATTAACAGCAGAGAGAGAGACATACCCAGACATGTCCGAAGTCAACTAAGCAGACTACTTTATTTTCTGATGGTTCTTACGGACTTTTTATTATTGCGTGTGCGTCCGTCAGACACAACCACACACACCCAGACCTCCACTGGAGAAAGGGTGCTCACCTGTGTGCGCGTAAGCGTCTGTTTGTGTGTATGTGTGCATCGGGGCGAAACTCCGCCGTGCGCAACACAGAGCAGAGGAGAATTGTAAACGAACATGACACAGAAATGACATGCCGTCGTGTAAATAAGATAAATAACATAAGACTATTTAGTTTGTTTAATAAAATGATGGAAGTGTTTCATCATCTGTCGACATTTGGTCTTCTATTTCCCATACCGTGCTTGAGCAAAGTACCCCTCCCCCCTCCCCCCCTCTGCACTCACACGCGTAATGTTGTCATGAAGCGTGCTCTGTAACGCGGTGGTTTCTGTGTCTGCTCATCAGAGAACATGACAGAGAACATGAGAACATGACAGAGAACATGACAGCTACTTTACTGACTTTGTGTCTTATTGTGAGTCTTAAATACAGACACAACATTTAGACTGTCCACGTTGTGCTCGTGCATGAACCTCTTCCACGCGTGCCAGGGAAAACCAGTTGATAAATACAGAAATAAAAGATATGCACTTAAAAACAACAGATAACTCCCATAGATAAAAAATAAAGACAAACATAAAGACATTGGTCTTTTTTAAGTCTTCACAATATTTTAGTTTAGTTACTTCTGGTTTACGGAAGTTATTTTTTAATGCAATATAACGTCCTTTCGTCTTTTCAGTATAAGCACAAATGTATTTCCTCCAGTAATTCAGCTTTAATTTGACCGAGTCAGTCTACTTGACTGTGCTACTTGGCAGTGAAGCTTGAGCAGGCTGAAGGCTAGTTAGCTGCCTCTGCATGTAGCTGATTTCACTTAGCTACGTGTTAGCTAAAGTTAGCTTCACATCTTAGTATAGTTTTCCGTAATTCAACAAGGCTCATTTATGTTGTAAAATATAACACAGAGTATCACTATATTTTAAACATCGTAAAATAACTCAAAACTTACCATTAAATGTCAAATATCCACCACGAGTATCCACAGTAAACTTTGTGCGTCGTGTCCGGGTGTCTCACTGGTCTGACTGAGCTGAACGTGTCGGAGCTGCAGCAGGAGATCAGACGGGAGCGCTACATTTACGACAGCGCATGCGCCGGAATACTAACGCAGATAACGTTTAGAAGACAATGAGAAATGCTGGAAGCAGGACATTTAAAATTGGTTATATAATTTAAGATGGACGTTAAAGCAAAACGTTATATTTTTTTAAGAGTCATGTGATGACAGAACAGTTGTCTTTGCCCTCTAAGTCACATGTTAACTCTGTGAGATGTATCACATGGTCTATATGTCCTATTAAGCACGAATTAAACAAACCCTTCAAACACACACTCTGCCTGTATGAGAAGATATTTCCTATTAGGACCGACATAGTCCATGTTAGGACCGGGGGGAGGGGAATAGTTCATATTAGGACCAAAACGTGTCTCACACACACACACTTTTTTTTGTAGAGCTTGGGTTTATTAGAAAAAGAGGTGTGCATACCTTACCAAATTGCTAAACGTTTACACGTTGGGCCAAAATATGCCTTGTATGGTATTTGGGTCTGTGGGACCTGTTTTAATTTTTAATTAAAAGAAAAATTATACATTTGATTAAAGGGATACTTCACCCATTTGTATCAGTAGTAAACTGGTAGTATTTTTGAATGGTCACCTAACCCCGAATTGCTCCCGCTGCTTCATACGTCGGTGGCTTATGAATGCATATAAATGGTATTAATTACTTCTGATGTTCTCACTACATAGTAACCTGTGCCATCAGTGTGTGAATAGGTATGTGTACAGGCGGTGTAAAAGAGCTTTGAGTAGTATGAAGACTAGAAAAGCACTATATAAGCTCAAGTCCATTTAACATTTAATTTGAAGAAGAGGATGAGATTGAGCATCAGTTTCGAAATGAAGACGAGCCACAGGAGCAGCCCATCAGCAAGTGGACAACATGGACAAGCTGATGACTGCCTTCAGCTGCAAAGGAGGACCCTACGCTGGCCACTGATGATATTCTTTGACATATTGGACATCTCAGCGTACAACGCCTTTGTCATCTCGATGGCACTGAACCAAGAATGTAAAAGAGGGACGCTCCAGAGGAGACTGGTGAGACATGCGAGAGAGTGCAGACACTCACGAGGACCTCTCAGCTCCGCAGGGCTACTGAAGAGGTCCCCTCTTCGTGCCACTCTGACTGCAATCAGTACGAAACGACTCGACGGTCACAGGGACCGTGCACACCTTCCCCACTGCACCCGTCGTAAGCATGAATCAGGTTTAAAAAAAACACCCCTCTCGACACCTGTGGAGAGATACGACGCAGCAAAACCAAGAGTGCATAATCACATCAGCAGAGAGAGAGATAAGGTCCACTGGATGCAGTTACAAAGGGATAAAGGGATTCAGACAGCAAGCCTCAAAACCTGGGTGCTGTGTCAGGCATGTTATGTCTGGTCTGGGGGATAAGGTTCTCCACCAACACCCAGAAGGCACCCATCTCTCTGCAGCACAGACACTCCGCAGCTGAAGACATGAGCTGACATTTCCTGCACAAGCACCTATCACACATAAGTTACAGGAAACTGTTAACCCTCTCCCTCTCTGTCTTTTTAAAGTGTGTTATTCTAAAGCGCGTGGTGCATGGCGATTTGGGGCATGTCCGACTATATTTTGAAATTTACGCACCATCTGGGCACAGAGCGGATGGATTATGTGTCTTTATTATACATATTGTGTTTTGAGTGTACATTAAACACATCAGAGTGTCAGCTCTCATTCCCTTTAAGAGTCAGATGAGCTAGCAGGGTAGTGTGTTGGTATTTACACGGCAGATTTCAGTTGTTATTCTGAGATAGCCTGAACTCTGTCCGGCTCATTTAACTTCCCTGCTTTGTGTCACTGAATACAGAACACTCAGGATACTTTAGTTATATTTCACTGAAACGATCGAACAGACACGTTGATTATTTCAGCATGAGGCATAAAAGCGTTTCCTCATTAATGGTTACAATCTCCAGACACGCCGGAGACACGCAGACATTCTCTAATGTGCGCGTAAACACTGGACAGTAGGCTATGTATTAATACTTGTAGTCATACGATTTATTATAAATCCAACTCTTTGTTGAAAGAATGCGTTTGAGTGTGTGCTTCTGCATGTGTTTCTGTGTGTATCACAGAAAAATGTTTAATGTGTAATTTAAACTGAACCAAAAACAGGTTTGCTTTTCAAAGCGTAAGTCAGTGGAGGTTAACCTCTACTGCATTTTAGACAGTTTGGTTTCAATCAATAAGCCATAATTATTTTCACCTTTAAGTTTGTATATTTCTGTTAACTGTGGTAGACCAAATGTTTTATTAGTCTTATGTGTGTCAGACACCTCATCCTATGTCATTTGATTCAACACTGATTCTTAAGTGTGACAACAGACTGAAAAAAAAGACATACTGATAAGGATTAAGCAAAATAGCTGTAAAGCTATGTCAATTTTGTGATGACTGAAATGAGTCATTAATCCTCAAAAACAAAGACTGTGTTGAGCTCCGTATCTTTTAGATGGTAAGATATGTTCTCCAAGCCAGGGGGGGAACATGTTGGAGTATGACAGAATGAATACTTTGATATGTGTACATGGTGAAATATGGTGAACCTGCTGGTGGCTTACATTATTTAAGTTTATGGTTTAACACTGAATTTTCTACCTGGTACCACTCATGTTCCTACAAATAATCTATTATTAGAGGATGTTAATGTCCATTTTGGACAGTGAGCAGGGTGTATTGTAGAAATTTACTCAGTAGTTGAAAGGGACTAGATTATTGCCATATTCTAATGCAAAAATAAAATATAAGTGGCTTTTTGAATTGAGGAAGATATTTAAACATGACCATAAGCTTCTTAATAAAAGGAGAAAAGAAAAATTGAGAGGCCAAAAATGTAAACTGAAGCAAAAAATTGTGATCTCACAAGTAAAGCGCCCAACACATAAATAAATAATATGTATACTTTGCCAATTATTCTCAGGGTTGTTCAAGTTCCAATTTAGCATGTCTTAAAACATGTTGTTTTGTACCAAAACACAAAGATATTTTGTTTAATATGTGCAGAACAGAAAAAAGTGGAAACATTATTAATTGAAAAATATCTGAAATTTCTTAATGAAAGTAACTTAAACAGTAAATCAGCTATTAAAATATCTGGCCTTAACTGGTTTTATGTTTTAAATTACAAAGTTCCATAGACTGTTAAAATATTTTCCATAGTCGGTTGCATGAAAGATCATTGTGCCTTTATTTTGAAATCATAAGATACAGGAAACAGGAAGTAGGAAGACCATAGCCATGGCTGTATCTGTTTGTGTTGAATCCCTTGGGTGCGTTGGAATTGTCCCTCCTATCTCCTTTCACTATCCACTTCACCTTAACCCCGGGGAAAACGTCATGAGGTTAAGGAAAGATGTCAGGAGAATTCATAAAGGACTTAGGGAAAGGCGATCTTGTTGCTCTGACAATCCGACCACATTTTCCACTAGGCCACGTCATTAAATGCGACGGGCCGGCGGAGGTTAATGACGTGGGTCTGCCGTGTTGAAACTACAATGTTCAGATAATGAACTACAAAAAGATCATCTAAAAAACTTTCCCCTGTGCTTCTTACCGGTGAAATAATCCTGATCACCACGAGGTTGGGATTGAAATAAAAGAAATATAGACTACCAGGCTACAAGTAAGAAAAGTGAAACCATCAGCTTCCTGTCCAATCAGAAATCAACATCAAAATAAATATGATTGGATGAAATTAATTGTTACATTAATGTAAGATATAACCTACACATAATGTTTTAAACATACAAATGTACAGCAGCACAGCATTCTGAAGAGAATGAAAAATGTTGAATAAAACATCCTCTGATAAAAATGTCTCTTATCTTTTATCTCTTTCATGATCTGTGTCACTTTACGATCATCGTTAATGTTCCTGAACGGTCGGATGCGCGACTCTTTTTAAATGTTGCGGCCGCAAGGAATTGTGGGGTGTCATATCTCATCTCCTTTCGTAAAGGATGGTCCAGTGTATCCTATGCTAAAGGAGGTTATAAAGGAAGCATTGACCCACCTTTCCTTAACTTTTAGAGAATTCGAACAGCTCTTATCATGGCCGCCACTTAAATGCTTCTGGGGTTTTGGTAAAGTGGATAGTGAAAGGAGATAGGAGGGACAATCCGAACGCACCCCTTGTGTAAATCAATCTTAAAGTAATGGCTGTAAGTGATACACGTTGTTAACATACCTGTTCATTTATATTGATGATTTTTACAGACATTTTTCTAAGTTTGTAAGAATTTAATAATTTAACATGTTCAGGCTTAGAAGACGATTTTATTGTCATATATTTACTTACTCATCCCCTAATTTGTAATTTATTTTATTCTAGTGCTCATGCGAACTGTCATAACTAAGAATTTTACCTATTAGTATAATATAAGGCTATTTGCAAGCTATCATTGGTCATTAAAGGAGCAAGCATGTTCTGGGTCTTAAAAGGGGGGGGGGGGGTATTACCTTCATTTAATAGCTGAAGAGAGACAGGAAATTCAAAGGGTCAATGTCGGATTTCATCCCATGGCCGTTGCACTGAGGACTACAGCCTCCATATATGGGGCGCATGACATAACCTCTCAGTGACTCTCCTGTGCAAAAAGAGGAGGTGCTGGTACAAGAATGCACCATCTCATGAACAAATGTAAATTAGTGAAATCTTGTATTTGTTTGTACAAACTAATTTTTGTAGTAACTTAAATACTTGCAGTTCCAAGAAAAAAAGGAATATGGGTCTCAGTACATGGGGGAGCACAAGGAAGAGTTCTTAAAGACTGCCAGGTATGTTACTTATCATTGGTCAACTCTCAAATTTGCTTTAATTACAGGGATATCAGAGATGTGGAAATGCTAGTTATAATTAAGCACAGACTGACCAGTTTCTAACCAATCCCATAAGGAATTTTTTAACCTTGAAAATTGAAAATAAATGAATAATCTTTAAAAATAATGATTATATCCTCAGAATAACAAAAAGTAACACATTTTTAAGTGAGTCAGTAATATGACATGTGCAGGAATGTCCTGTATATTTTGCTTCTAGTCAGGAACATTAAACCAGACTTGGCTTCCACTGTAATATATAATGTATGATTGAAAACAATGAATCAAGCAAATAATCAACAGAATTAACTCATTTTTATTTTAGCACGAGTAACCAAAACTCACACATTTTAAGTGTTCTTTAAAAAAAGAAGAACAATCCAGTTGTGAATTCAGTCCACTTTTGAAATTGATGGATGAGGATGAATTTGTACTGCTTTAAGTTTTGAACATTTTGATAATAAAAAATAATATCAATATTTGTGTCTAGCGATGATTTTTGTGTAATTTGTGCCATATATTACCTTGATTTTATTTAATATATTTCATAGATTGCTTTTCTTTTTTATGGTTCATATTGTAAATCTTAAGCAATCTTAAATTAAAATCTACACTAAAAAGTTTTAACATTTTTAAAAATTCTAAAATATTTTTTTTAGGAACTGTGTATTACTAAAATCTACTAATGTCTACTATTAATAATCTCCGTTTTGTGTGACAAACCTTAAAATTCCACACACACACACACACGCAATTACATGAGTTGGCCAGAGAGGTCGCACTTCTTAAGTCCGATACACACTTTGAAACATGAACAAGTAAAAAAACCAACTTGTCAGGACCATACCAATTTTTGTAGTTTTTTGCACAGGGCATGTTAGAATAGCATTTCCTATCTGTTTCAGTGCTCCTCCTTATCAAGACCATGTTTTCGGTCCTAACAAGTCCTCTGGTCCTAATATGGAAGGTCGTTTTACTGGTCAGGGCCTCAATAAGAATAGAAAAACCAGAACACACACACACACACACACACACACACACACACACACACACACACACACACACACACACACACACACACACACACACACACACACACACACACACACACACACACACCTGTTTTTCGTCCTCGTAGTCCGCCTGAGTGTCCGAGTCCGGGTTTTCCGTCGACATTATGTGTGTGTGAAAGTGACGCAAGTGTCCCTTTCTGCGGACAGCTCACAGAGATGAATACACAGAGGTACCTGTGCTGAATCTAATCCTCCTTTTCTGGACACGACTGCTGCTCCCCAACAAAAATGGCGTAACGAGTTGTGACATCATTCCCGGTTAGCTTCCCCTCCCCTCCTCCCTGTGTGATTGACATATACAGTAGCCAATGGGCGAGCGGCAGTGGCTCACTTGGAACCAATGGAATTTAAACCGCAGACGTTCGCTCTGTGATTGACAGCTCCCTGCTCCAATCGTATTAGTTTATGGAAACTGGGGGCGATGCGGAGGGGGGGGGGTGCGCACTGCATCAACAAAACGAACATGGACAACAGAGAGAAGATATATCTTTGACGCGCCTTGCTGGCTTTTAAGTAGTGCGTTAAAATCAATGAAGTTATTCAGTAACAGTAGTTTAACAAAGCATTTGGTGTACACTTTGGAGAAGCTCTCTGCTCTGTGATTGGCTACTTGTTGACGGTGGACCCGCCTACCAATCAAACGATCGGCGGGAACGCGTTACGCCTCGTTAACTTACCACTAGGGGACATTTAAATAATCGATTATCGTTTTTTAATTGTATTTTTTAAATAATTTTCTAGTTGCCAAGTAAGTACAAAGTCATTGATAGCAGGCACAGGTAGTTAGTAGTTTAATTTTAGATACATAAACAGTTGTAGTAGGTGGAAATTAATAATAAGCTATCTAAGTTTGACTGAATTTTAACTAAATTATTAAACTCTTAAGCTTTTCTTACACAAACTATCTCTTTGTTTTGCAGATTTCTGTCTCTCATGGAAGCGATGGCGTGTGTGCAGAAAGTGAAGAACTCTCAGGTAAAGCCACACCTGACCGGTTAGTTAATGTTGATTCAGTGTTTTTAATGATGTTTGAAACACAACTAGCTTGTTAACTTCAATCAATCAAACTTTATAACTTTAGACAAATTCAACTGCAGTTCAAAATGCTTTTACAATTAAGATAAGAGATTAATGCACAACAATAAGAATTTAATAAAACAATAATAAAATAAAATTGAGATTTATGGCAAAATTAGCAACATACAAGAAATAAAAGCTATAAGATAATATTAATAATAATAATAATAATAATAACTTTATTTATATAGCACCTTTTAAAAACACAGGTTTACAAAGTGCTTTGACAAACAGCAAAAACAAGAACAAACTAAACCAAACACAGAAGAACATTAACAACAGCAAGAACATAACAAATGCACAATACTAAAAATAATTAAATACAATTCAACAGAAAAGAACCCAAAGTGCACGATACCCAACAGACATATATAACCCGACCATCACAAGAACCATTATAAGAACCCAACAACACGAGATGACACCAAGAGGACCAAAGATTTAAAAAGATGTAAGAAACTAAAAGAGCTGAAAGCAAATAAAAAGATAACAGCAATAAGAAGGTAAGAGCAGTAAAAGAAATAGAAACAAGTGGTTAAAGGATCAAAAAACCCAAAACTATAATATTCATAAAAATAAAAAGTAAATATAAATATGAAACATAAATAGACTAAGTAAGATAAGAAATTACCAAGTTAAAACATAAGAGGATTTAAGATATGAGCATAAATATGAGATAAGAGCATAAATAAAAGAACAGTAAGAAGTAAAAGAAGATAAAAATAGTCAAACCAACAAGCATTCATACACACAAGAAACACTTAAAGTAAAGTAAAAGACAATACAATAATGTTATTATTGAATTAATTGAAAACGCAGCAGCCTCTTGTTGTAGCTGGTTTATTGTGTTTTTAGGTTGACCAGGAAGGAGAGCGTTTTGAAAGTGTGCATTAGTCCCTCTGTTTGGCTCAGAGAGAGAAATGGTCTTACTTTGGCGATGTCTTTCAGGTGATGAAATGCTGTTTTTGTGGCGCTCCTCACATGAAATACAAATCAAAGATCACCCCAAGAATTTGTGCTCCTTGGCTTCCGTCCTATTTTTTTGTGGTTTGGGGGTCCATTTATAGACAAGTAAAAAATAACACAGTTTTAACTTTTCTACGCTGTGCACATGTTCACTGTTTTTAGTAATTGTAGTTACCAGGTAGGGCATTACACACTGAGTATATTTTGGCTGTACTGTACCGTACTATTCAACATTAATGCCCATCATTTATTCATCATTAGATACAGGTGTGTAGCCTTACTCACAGGCAATCACCATCTAATCGTTGCTCCGAAACACCAGGACTAACTTACATTTTATAGTTTCTGTATTTATTGAAGCAAGTTTAAGACATCCCAGAGTCCACTGCATTAACTCAGAAGAATATGATATTAATATTAATAACCTGTAAGCGCCAACCTCCGGTCTTGTACAATGAAGCCAATCTCGAATGTCCACTAGAGGCTGATTCTGGTTCTTGATAGAATATTGAAAGCCTGAATGAAACACAGATTGCTGATTAATCTTGTTTGTGTTAGCTGTTACGAGTAAGCAGACCGCAGTATATGTGATTTATTTGTGTCTCTCTTGCAGGATACTCAGCTGTTGCCCAATCAGGTTCTGTCGGAGCAACAGTCCTTGGTTGTTATGAAGAAGCTTCTGGCCATCGCAGTGTCTGGCATCACGTACCTCCGGGGGCTTTTCCCAGAGAAAGCCTATGGGAGCAAATATGTTGAAGGTTAGATAACACATGGAACGGTGTGCTATCAAGGTCGATATTTTTATTTGGAAATTCTTGAGGAGGAGATTCTTCCCTCCCTGCTTTTCCTCCCACAGATCAGAAAGTGATGATCCTCAGAGAGGAGCGCAGCTGTCCCGGGGCCAGTCAGATAGTCCAGTGGTAAATATGAACAACGCTTACTCCCCGAAGTCATGAATCAGTTCCACTTGGAAAACAGTTTCCTGATTGTGTCATGCCTTTTGTGTTTAGGAAACAAGCTGTGTTTTTATGTCTTACTGAACCGTTGCTGGTTTGAATATAGAGGAATCTGGGGGCCTATTTGTCAGCGTTGGTTTTTTGGGGTGGCCGTTACAACTGAGGTGGTAACAGAGTTTGTGTCTGTAACAGCAGCAGAGACAGTTGGTTGAAAAACAGCTGCTGATGATTAATCATGGTTTCCTACCCCTTGAAAACACTTCCTTGTGAAGTCAGAGATACAGTAGCGTGTATGAGATCAACTTGAAATCTCAAAAATCGTGTTAAAATAATTTTGAATATGATCGATGTCTTACGCTTGTTATGTCGGCTTACGTTAGCTGTCCTCCTCGTGGCTGCTCGCCGTCTCACCTCTGGACTACATCAGTTACCGTTTCTGTGGGTCTGAAAAATAATTTTAGGGCGCACTCATATGAGACAAAGTTGTCCTGTACCGCGCTTAAGCACAATTGGCAATCATTTTGCGCAATTTGACAATCACAGCGACATCACTTAAAGCTTAATGCTACAGAGTACGGTGTCGATAGTTAAAGTGACTCCTTCAGACGCCTCAAGCTCCTTTTAACCATGTTTAGAAACTAAATTGAGGTCACAATTTCACCACGACACACTGAAGAGACAGGAGAAAGTTTGTCTAATCAGAAGTAGCACAGCAACGGTTGCTATGAGAGGAAGCTCTGATTGGTGGGTCACCAGACAAATCAGAGAGCCAGCAAAGGGTCAAGAATTGACATTATGTTGGGTATCTTCAAATAAAGAGTCTGCTTTTGACCGGCTCTGTTTGTAACAAGTCCTGAGATATCTACTTTTTCATTAGGCCTCTGTAAATCACACTTGATTGGTCGACTGATAAATTATGACGTCATGCTCAATCACACCTTGTGAACTGATTTTACTTCCAGGATGCAGGGATGCTTTGAGGCCATCCAGAATAAGTATGTAAGTCAACCTCCTCCATCAGTCAGAAAATGTTTTCCTGTTTGACCTTCTGCGTAATCTTCCCCTCCTTACAGTTAACGATGTCATTTTTCTCCCTCTAGCTGCGGACAGTTATTATGTCTGTGAGTATTTTACATCTTCTACTTCTTACGTGTTGTCTTTTTGGCGTGCAGAATCGAGTCGTCTGAGAGAAATATTCATGCTGCTAATGTTTACTTAATTTGTCTATGTTTTAGATCTACACCGACCAGCAGAACCCGGAGGTAATGTCCAGTTTTCTTCCTGCTTTTCGTTTAGTGTCACAGTTTTTTAAAACACAACCAGCTGCTTCGATGATCCGTCTGAAACACAGCAGCTGTGTCATCTTGTCTTCCAGAAAGTGACTGAGTTTTACCAGTTTAGGATCATGTACAACGCAGAAGGAGCTCAGATGGACTTTGAAAGGTGAGGATGTTTAAATTTGACGCTCAGGAGCTGAAGTTCAAAATGCAAACCTCAGAAATCGAGACAGGAAACAAACAACAGCTTTATAGCTTCATGAGGGCCTCATCACACAGAGTTATGTTTAATACTTTTTATATAAAAGTAGCTCAAAGTGCTTTACGTTCTTTAAAACCTTACTTTAAAACTTTGCGCCCCATGTATGCAGGCTTTAGTCCTCGTTTCAGCGGCCGTGGGTTCAAATCCGACCTCGGCCCCTTGCTGCATGTCATCCCCCACTCTCTCTCCTCCCAATGTTTCCTGTCTCTCTTCAGCTGTCCTATCCAATAAAGACAAAAATACCCCAAAAATGTCTATAAAAACTTTAAAGTTCTTCACAGATCCCAAAGCTTTAGCACGATGGCCGATGGTTGCAAGTGCTCGGCAACGGCTGAAACGACTCACATGAAGAGAAACGAGCAGCAAATTCAGAAACACTTTTAATGCAAACGTCTAAAAACAAATGCAACGGCTGAAACGCAACATGCTGCAAAAAGCAGGAACAACCCTTTAAGGTATGTTTTGGGTCTTTAGCATCAACGCTAACTCCATTTGGACTTTTTTTTTTTTAAACTCAGCAACAACAACAACATGTTGTCGATGTCGTCTGGAGGCACGAAGAAGGCGAGCATCCTGCTGGTGAGGAAGCTCTACACGCTGATGCAGAACCTGGGTCCGCTACCAGACAACGTGTGTCTCAACATGAAGCTGGCTTACTATGACAACGGTGAGTCACACACACACACACACACACACACACACACACACACACACACACACACACACACACACACACACACACACACACACACACACACACACACACACACACACACACACACACACATGTATGTCCTCATTAAGGCTGCACAACTGGGACGTACGATATTTCCAAGGAGCATTGAAGGCGTTACTCTCAAGCGACAACCTCGGGTCTTTAAAAATAAAAAGGAAGTAAATGCTGAAGTGCAGAAAAACTGCAGTTTCTCGAGTGTCCACAACAGTGGTGGTCGGCTTCTTAAATAAACGCAGTGGTTCTCACACATAGACGATACCTGAGCCGTGGGGGAGAGAGAGCGTTCGACAGAGTGCAGACGTGTGCGAGGACATCACGGCTCCCGTTTAAAAAAAAGTCCCTCTATTCCTGCGGAGAGATAACACAAAACCAACAGTGCAGAATCACATCAGCAGACAGAGAGGGAGCGATAAGGTCCACTGTCCGTACATCCCTCTTGTAAATGCACCGCTGTTGCGGAGTACTTTGTGCAGTGACGGCGCACGTTACCATGTTTAAAAAAAACAATTCTTTAACGTTTTAATGGTTGGCAATTTTACTGAACGTTTAGTGTTTCTCTAAATGTTAAGGGTTTAAACATTTAGAATCACACCTCTAATACAAAGACCCAGCATTAATCCATCATGAGCACTGAGCAACATTTAGCAAAAGTTACAGAGAAGATAAACTTCCTTTAAGAGGCAGAAACCTCAAACAGAATCAGGCTCAGTGTCTGTCTCTGTCTTACTGTGTATTCGTCTGCTTCCAGTCACTCCTCAGGACTACCAGCCTACAGGGTTCAAAGAGGCCGACGGCAACACCATGGAGTTTGAGAAGGAGCCGGTCAGACTCACCATGGGCGAAGTGGTCACCCCCTTCCACACTCTGAAGTTGGACATGACCACCGAGAGACAGAGACTGGAGCAGGTGAGTGAAAGGAAGCACAGGAACGAGGCACAAAAATCACACCTAATGAATAATCTGTAAAAACGTCGTGGAGTTTTATATTCACTGTTTTTATTGGACAGCTTCTTGACCTTTGTCTCCAGATCAACACATCAGGGAGCTGTTTGTTTTTTGGATCGACAGCTGTGCTTGTTGTTAAATGTCTGCAGGTGGAGGAGAGTGTTTGCGTGACGGAGAAGTGGGTTCTGACGATGGAGGAGGAGGGTGTCCTGTCTCAGGTCAGCACACCAGCGACGCAGACATGGAGCCTTTTTTACACTCAGCGGGGCGAAGTCAATTTATAAACACATGCACCTCCATGTAGAGAGATAATTTAGGGTTTAAGTTTAACCGTTGTTTGCTGAACGATCTACTAGACTATGTTCAAACTTTTCTAACTGCGGTCAGTGAGATTAGAGGTGAATGATAATGGTGAATAGACTTGAACTTTTTTAGCCCTTTTCTGGTCCCCTAACTACTCAAACACGTTTGAACATGTCCAAATCCTTTCGACTGTAAGGCGCAGGATGTTCAACATGTGAAGAAACTTCATGATTGGCAAAAAAGTTTCAGAAGTCTCTGGAGCTTCGGGTCGGACATGTGAGTCAGTGCGAGGGTTATCAGGAGCAGTCTGTTGCCGTGGTGACCGTGGTGACCGTGTTGACGTTTTGTGTTATCAAAGCCTGAAGATAAAATGAGTTTTATCTTTAGAGCCATGTGATCAAAGACGGGGAGAAGCCCGACACCGAGAACACGGACGTGGACAACACGGGTAAATCATTCTCCCTCTCACTCCAGCTGTTTCCACAAAACAGTCAGTTTGGCATCGTTTATAACATCTACACACACACACACACACACACACACACACACACACACACACACAAGCTCTTGTCAGACTTTTTTTCACAAAAGTGCCGCTACTGAGATCAGCCGTCATCATGTCTTTGTACATTCATATTGATTCTGCAACTGTGTGATATCGGTGTCCCAGTCTGTGAGGTCACATTGCGTTTCAGCGTCGCGGTAGCACAGCACACACACACACACACACACACACACACACACACACACACACACACACACACACACACACACACACAGAGTGCTGTGCTCCCCGCTGGCTCCTCCAGAAACCGTCTCACCTCTGTAAGGCCTCTGTAACTACCTCTAAAGAGGGTACAGATGGGGGGTCACTTCATCCCCCCAATACGCCTCCACCACGTCCAGATTGAAGGTGAAACGTCACAGGGGGGTAATTATCGCAGCTTGAAATCGACAGTCTGAATTGGACTTCACACTCATACTACACATTGCATTTAAACTATTATACATTTTCATATTTTGAATGGCATTGCATAAAAGTCTTCGTATTTACGCGCCCTTCTGTATTAGTGGAGAAAGATCTCGAGCCTTGGGTTTTCTTTAAACTAGAGGAATCTTTAAACGGAGAGAATAATCTAGAAATTTGAACAAGACTCTATCAACCTTTTTTTTTCTCTTTTGCTCATCTCCAGAGATCCAGATGAGCTGTCATGAGACGAAAGAGAGCTGTGAGGAAGTCACAGAGGTAGGTGTGACCTCGACACAATGTGAGTTCGGTTCACATCAAAGTACTCACTCTGCTGGAAGGTAAGATTTAAGGCTCCCTCTACCTGCGTGTATCAGCGGCCACATGGAGCTGCTCGAATCTGGGTTCGAATCCAACCTGCGGCTCGTTTCACATATGCCGTTCCCTACTCTCTTTTGGATTTTGAAAATTTCAAAAAAATCAGAGAATCGAAAAAGACCAAGTACTTTGAGTTTTCTGTTGTATCTTTCATCACTACACTGATTTACACAAGTCTGTCCCTGATTTCTGACTCTATCCACTGTTCTAGCTTTAAAAACTCACAAAAGAGTCCAGAGGCTGAGATTTATGCAAAAGCTAGTCTCTTGAATTAAGACACGAGTGGTCAAAAGAGTCAAACGAGGAATAAAAACTGTAAACTGTAAACCACTGTCCGTCATTCAGCTGCATGGAAGCATTTCTCTGTTAAGGTCCATCAGTTAAATTAACAGTGAAGATTATTTTCTCAATCGATTTTTAATTAGAACTGATGGAAATATAGGCGAGACGTGTACCCACACACACACACACACACACACACACACACACACACACACACACACACACACACACACACACACACACACACACTGTGCAGGGAGGCAGTACCGCCTGGGCATCATACATGTAAACATATCTCTCAGCTTCATTCTTTTTGTTCCTTGTCGAGGAAACTGCACGAGAGGAATCAAATTAAAAAGCCAAGAAAAGACGATTTTTCATCGTCAGTAACTTTGATGTATGCTGAGAGTATTTTGTGGAAGTGATGTTAAATTGAATCTTGATCTTGAAAAGTTAAAGTATAGTAGAATAGAATAAATCTTTATTGTCCACTAGAGGTGGGAATTAGCCGTCGGCTCTCCAGATACATAAAACAGTATAAAAAACATTCAGGCCGTAAATAACACAGACGACTTAGCAGCTAGGGTTAACCCATTAAAAACAATTGATGTCCTGGTTCAGATCTCATCAGTCATGTTCTAAGGATGTTTATCAATCTCAGGATTTACATTTTTAGATGTCAGAGGGACTCCACCCTGAGCTCAGAGTCTCACACTGGCAGAGGAGAGGATGGGAGTCATCTGCTCAGATACTCCTCGCTTTCTTCCTCGCCCTATCAGTGAATATTTGAGACAGAGGCTTTTGTTGTTTATTGCATTTTATTCGCTGTCGTCTCTTTAAAGAGCGGAAAATATTCAGAACAACTGCAAAACTTTCCGTTAAGTGCACATCCTGTAGAAACACAACATGCCGTGGGTTATTAAGTCTGAAATAAACAAAATGTGTCTTGTTATTTAATGTTTATTTGTATAATCTGATGTCACACACTAAAGCGTTTACTGCTTATACTAATGTGCCCTCCCTAAACAGCAAAAACACAAAGGACAGTAAAAAACTCCACAATAACACAGAAATAAACAAGATGTAGCGTGAAATAAAACACCTGAAGTCGAGAACAAGATCACTCCTGATGTTGTGACTGATCCCTCCTCAAAGTCTGTGAAGGGTTTCTTCACAGAGTGTCTGTAGACTGAGCTAACAAAGAGGTGCTTTGAGTGCACTTCATGGTCGGAGGCGTTACGGACCATCTGTCCCCTCTCAGATGGACACTCTGGTGAAGAGGACCTCCGACATCGAGGTGGGCCTGAAGAGGACCAGGAGTGGACGGATCATCAAAACCACCACGGTGAGTCAGCCTCTCAAACCTCAACTACGGTACTCCTGCTTCTCTCCTTAAACTGCTGCAGCTAGATCTCCTGAGACGTCTAAAAGTTTTTAATCTTTTTGCTTAATGAATCGCAGAATAGATCTCAGTGTGACATCATGCTGTTTTCACTTTGCACTGTTTTGACCTCAAAGTCAGAGGAGTTCTTGGAGACTTGTTAGATTTATTTTGGACTCTGGAGACAGATCCTGCAAAAACAGTTATTGTGTAAAACATGAAAAACAACTTGAGTTAAAGCTGTCTGTGGATGCAGGTCTACGGTAGATGATTCCCTTATGATTGCTGTGTGTTTGTGTGTGTTTGTGTGTTTGTGTGTGTGTGTGTGCAGGAAACAAAAGTCACAGTAAATGACAAGAAGATGACACCTATGTCAAACAAAGAGGTGAGAAATTCATGTTTACAGCGTAAACAAACTGATGGAGTTTTTAATTTATCGTAAATATAAAACTCAGACTCAGGGTTGCCAGGTCCTGGGGCCCTGGTGGTGCAGTGGTTAGTGCGCGCACTCCATGTATGGAGGCTATGGTCCTCAGAGCGGGCACCCCAGGTTCAAATCCAGCCTTTGGCTCCTTTCCCGCATGTCATTCCCCTCTCTCTCTCTCACTGATTATTTCAGCTCTATACACTGTCTTATCTCTCCATTAAAGGCACAAAAAGCCCAAAAATAAATCTTAAAAAAGGGTTTCCAGGTCCTAAACTATTTTGTTAACGCAAAAATCCAACCAAAACGACCAACAGGTCCACATGGAATATGTCCCACAACCAAATACACATGCACTCACACAGACACACAGTCCCATTGTGCGAGCACACACACATGCAGACGCAGCCCTCACTGCTACTGCACAACACAGTTGATAGAGGTTTTATCGGCTGGTTTTTTGATCTGGCATTGGGCTTGTTTTGTCACTCAGACCTGGCAACCCTGCTCCGTCTGCAGACACAACATTTATAAATAAGTCACTTATCTCTCTACGGATTAACAGATTCACTATTTTGCCCTCATAGCATTTGATTTGTGTATTTGTTGGGGTGCTTTAACAGCTGTTCTTCTGCAGATGAAGCTTTTTTTCTGCAGATGTAAATTTTAAATTGGAAAAAAAAAAAAAAAAGCGTAGGATCCGTGTTTGTTCCACAGATGAGTCAGCAGCACTGATCACTTTGGTTTCTGAGTGGGATGTTGTCTGTCAGTAGACTCATAAAAGCTCTGCGGTTATCTTGTTGCTCGCTGAACGTTTCCTCTGCTGCTTACAGGTCTCTCAGTACGACATCCCCAACAGCCAGGAAACGCTGTCCTCCACCGCCAAGAAACGCAAATTCAGCGAGCCCAAAGAGCGCTTCTGACCTCACAGACCACGACATAATCTACGTCACTGATTCATGTTCATGTTTGACATTTCAGTTCAGATTTTAACAGGTTATCGTTTCAGCAGCAACTGTTTGTTTGCTCAGAAGTTTAGTTCACTGTCACAAATATCTTAAAGATGCATTTATGTTGTTTTTTATTGTTTTATCTGTTTAGAGAAGGATTTCATACGTGATTAAAATACAAAAATAAATCAGTTGTTGCAGTTATCACACTCAAAGATTCAGTTGTCTTGATGTATTAGTAATTTAAGGAGCAACCAAAAGCATCGTTGTCAAAACAATCACTGATTTTTTTGAGTTTTCAGATGTACACACCTGAAAGATTCAGTCCCTCAAATCCTCCTGAGCTGCTTGTTCACACATGCACCTAGCAGCGGGAGACTCTCTGTGTCCGACGAGAGGAAGGGGGGGGGTAAAAGTGTGGTAAAAAATTCCACCAGGGGGTGCCGATAGCCTAGCGGTTATGACGCATGCCACATGTATGGAGGCTACAGTCCTTATCAGCGGCTGTAGGTTTGAATCCGACCTTCGAAAACAGAAACTTTACTCATCGGGCCGTCAGGAGAAATTCTGTGTAAAGTCGGACTGAAAAATTCGGCTGTTTGCGTTCACACATGCAGCTCATACAAATTACTAAAGAAAGTTTTGCGCTTGTGTGAAAGTAGAGTTTTCCTTCTGTCGGATTCTGTTTAAATTAAAAAGAGAAAAATAGAAATGTATATAATAGAAAGTATTTTGAATCCATGATTTTAAACAATGCATGAACATGATTTATTAAAAGTGCGTATTTATTTTAAACTATAATAACTTTAATAAATAGATGCCCATATGATATTTTTTTCCAGGCTGCATTAACATACTTGACCAAAAAATGAAAATGACAGCTATGACAAAGGAGACAGAGGAACTTTTAGCAGGTCGATAATGTGGGACTGTTGAAACATTTCCTGTTATGCATGCAATGAAAGTACCTAATATTTCACCTGTATACTTAGAAACACTGCGATATATAGAAGAGTAAGTTTGAGAGAACTGCTGTGGGAGGAGGAAACACTACCTCGACCAGAGCAAATGTTCAAAAATAAGTCAGGGAAATGTTCTCTCTGTGGACGAGAAGGAAACGATGATCTATTTTTATTTATTATTCAGGGAGATACATATTTGCTGCTTTTTCTTCACATCGTTTGATATGACGTCTACAGATGTTTCAGCTTGGTGGATACTTTCCTTTGAAGTTGGGAGAATTTTTTTTATTCCAACACAATCCTGTAAATTGTAAAACCATGCAGAGGTCAACATTTGTTTTTGTAGTGGTCTCTTTAGTTTTTCTAGAACTGTATATTTCCCCGTATAAACCGTGGTGTGATATCAACCAGCTGGTAGGCCAAGAGATAGAGGCAACAATTCTCGTCTTTAAATATGGCCCTGAAGTGAATCAGTTGATTAATGTATGATCCTAATAATCATCAGCTGCTGTCAGACAGCTGCGCTTGCTTTTTTTTTGTTCATATAAAGGAAATGCACTTGTCTTCTGCCGTTTCAAAGATTAAACAGTTTCCTCTTCCTGCCTCTAAAAGCGTCCTCTTCTGCGCCTCGGAGAGAAAAAAAACCAAAAAAAAAAAACCCCGTTCTCTCACTTCTAGAAAAACAAACCTCTTTCTTTGAATAGACCCACAAAATGCCACCATTTGCATGTGAGGTGCCTTAAATGAAGCTGTTAAGTGAAAGTGGATTATATCTGTACACAGTGACCTTTGGGCCCAGATAAGGGCCCATCAGCAGCCTCCCGCCCGGCAAGCTGTGTGTTTTTAATCTCCTATTGTTTTTCCCAGAGAGAGGGACATTTGCTGATAGACTGCCTTAACCCAGTGCGGATCAATACCGCAGGAAGCCTTTGTGATGCATATCCAAGCAGCCCCCACTCTCTCTCGCTCTGTGTCTGCAGCAGGCCAGAGGGGGGAGAGAGACTCCATCAAATCAGCCCTCACTTCCTAACACGGGCATTGTCTTGGCCACCACATTTTTATTTCATTGCCTTTGCGTTTTTATTTTATTTTATGGGTATTTCTGATAACGGAGGAGCAGAATGGAGCAGGGAAATCCATGGTGGAGCGTATACCCACACACCAGCACATTGACGGGCTTTATGAGGTGTGAAATGAATCAGGGTTACCTAACCTCACGGCCCCTCTTCACGGGCATTTTTCAACACTTTTTATTATTTTGACAGCAGGGGGTTCACTGGGTATTGATAAGTGATGAAAAGCAATGACAGTAAAGGCACCTTTTTTTGCAGGCCTAGTCATGTATTGTAGATAACCAGCATCTCTGTTATAGGCATTATAACAACGCTTTATCACAGAAATGAAAAGATAAATGGCGCCCAAAAGGCAAAATTCATCCAACGGCGCGGAAAATAAAAAGAATTGAACGCTGGAAAATTCACTATTCGAGAATCTGTCTCTCTGGTAACCAAAGGAGCGTGACCCTTAGAGATCAGACGCTTAGATATGGATCGCCTTCAATCAAGTGTCTGTTGAAAACAAAAAAAATGTTTTAAAGGCAGACCGCTGTTCCTCTCAAGCACGTTCAACACATCTGCAAGAGGAGAGGAACCTCAATTGCAATTTTATTTCGCCGCCACCCTCAATCCTTCACTCGGATCCCGGGACTCTACATCATTTCTGTACACACACGTCTCCCAGAAATGAATTCTGAAATTAAATTCAGGGACACACGTCCAGCGGCCAGTGTTAACAGATCAATCAGTTGGCCAAACAGCAGGAGGGGCCCGCCGGACGCCTCTGCAGACCAATCAGGAATCTGGGTTCGCCCTGTTTCAGTCGATAGCTGAGGTCCAGGGCCGCCTGGGTACGGTCAAGGCAAGACACACTGACAGACTGATGGACAGACAGCCGCAGTCCATCCCAGGGCTCCATATAGATTAAAGCCAGCTTCTGTGAGCCTATAGTCGCGTTGCGGTGATTGTGCCTGCAGGGCCTGTTGGCCCCAAGGGGGGGCTGGGCTTTACACTTGGAGGGGGAGGAGCGAGGGATGGAGTGGACACTCATCCCAGGGACCGTGACCCCTTTGACCTTGCCAGAAGGGCAGCAAATGTTTCCGAGCTGATTAGCGCATCCCCAGCAGAGCAACCCCGCTCACTGTTAACCCTTTGGAATCAGATAGTGGGCAGAGTGGTTCACGGAAATTCTGAAAATAAGTCAATCGTTTTTTTTGTTTTTTTTTCAGTATTACCGTAAAACTTGAATAATAGCCCAGCTTTGATCTACTTCAGTCTATGAAATGACCAGGCCTTTATTTGGGACAGGCGTCAACAAGAGACAGGCTTTGAATTATTTTCAAACAAAACTCGTGCGCAGCAAAGACTGTAAAGAAAAGAATAGGAAAAGGTACATGTACACCTTCACAATTATGTAACAGTGTGAAAGATTAGGATATCAATAAACAGATTAAATTATAGATTTTGCTTTGTAAGCCAGTCTATGCAAACCTGCTGCACTGTGAGGCAGAGAGGGAGAGACCTTTGTTCTGCCGAGGTCAGACAAAGCACCATTACAGCCCGATCCTGGAAGCGTTTGGTTTCTGGACCCGTCAGCCCCAAAAATGGATTGTTTTATCCCGTGTAGTGGGTCGTACTGAACAACAATCAAGGCCACATCTAGGACGTCTCCACCAAACGACCTCCCTAGCATGTTAAAGTCTAGCATGTTTGATTTTTTTTTTCTGCCTTCTACCATGTGTTCCATCACATCGGTGATCTGCAAGCGCAAAAGGCGCAAGGGAAAGTCAAAACAGAAATGGCAAAGCGAAAGAAGAAAGATGAAGTTGTTCTCGCAGTCGTCACTCCAGGTGTCGCCTAGCCCAGCCGCTCTGCCTTCCAACGTCATCACATCTGTTGTGATGATTGTTTTGGTTTTGAAAGTTTTTGTCTCTGTGATCCCCTAACCGACACAGTGACCACCGTAACAGACGCAAAATCATGTCGTCTGACCTCGGTATTAGTATAATCTATTATGAGTGCTGTGTTCGCCTATGGAGCCAGAACGTCTTTAGCTGTTTGAAGCGCGTTACTGAATTAAAAAATTACCACTAGAGTCAGAAAAACATTTGCTTTCATTGTTTTTACAACATTTATTTGCATCTCTAAACGCAGCACAACCAGCAGAGTTGTCCTCTTCTTATTTCTGATCAGCGATAAATGAACGCAGAGCGGCCTCTATACGTCACATTTCTAAAATTCACATAGAAGACGCTTTTATCCAAAGCAACGTACATCAGAGAGTCCGAACATGCAGCTTTGCCACGCTCGTAAAAGGGACTGGGCCTTAAATTGGAATGGGCTTTTATTTGAAGCTTTACTCTAGTTAATCATATATTTTCTTAATTAATTGTACTTAAGAAATGCAGTCACTTTAATGAAGTTAATTCAGATTCAGTGTTAAAAATTCCTCTACGTCTTTATACAAACACAGAGTACATTCCCATTCCTTAGCAGACTACTATATGTAAACAGGCCCAGTTCTACGAGGGTGCAAAAGCATGCATTGCACCCCCATATTAAATCTCTGCACCCTAAAAATAGCTTTCAAATGACAAAAGTGAGTGACATCGTGTTTGCTACATCCATGATCTGATGGTCATGACCATAGGCTGTATATGTAAGAGTGGACAAGCTCCCTGCACCGTCTTCTCTGCAGGATGAGCATCATGAAAAACCAAGCCAGTGAAAAGTTGTGTACGTCCTCACAAAGCGGCATCAGAACAAGAAATAAGACACGCAAGGAAAATTGTAAGAGCAGACATCTTGGTCTGAGCTGCAGAGTCTCCTTAAACTAGAGCGTTAAGTCGGCTTTGACGATTTTAAAAAGCAGGATGAAGGATCATTTGACGACTGTGTGGATATGTTTTTCCTGCTGAAAGCTTCTGATTGGTTGATCGATTTAGTATTTGTTGACTCTCCGTCTTTTGTTCTCTGCTTGAAACTAAATACGTTGCTCTTACTTTGTACCACAAGATATGACTAAATTGTATTTAGAAAATAAGCAACAGGCGGAGTTTACACCTAAGAATTTGAGTACACCTCATATTGCTTCTGTAGTTACATTTGAATTCAGGACTTCTGCAGTATTTGTGCATTCACTCAGGGATGTGCATGTTAACACAGGGACTAGGGACCTTAAACGGCAGTGGA